CCCCCCCTTTCTTTACCAGTTAAACCCCTCCTTTCTGTACCTGATAAACCCCCTTTCTATACCAGGTAAACCCCCCTTTCTTTACCAGGTAAAACCCCCTTTCTATACCAGGTAAATCTCCCCTTTCTCTACCAGTTAAACCCCCCTTTCTATACCAGGTAAACCTCCCTTTCTATACCAGGTAACCTCCCCTTTCTATACCAGTTAATTCCCCCCCTTTCTGTACCAGGTAACCCACCCCCTTTCTGTACCAGGTAATCCCCCCCCCATCTTCAGTAATTGGATCTTTCGTCTGACACGCCCGATTCACATAAAAATAAGCGAAAAACGAACGAAAAGTTTATTTTGACGAAAACAATGTTTAGATCCGAGTATGCCTATTGTGATAGACGAGGATGGTGGAAGCGAGGAGGTGGAGTCTGATGACGAGTATCTAGATGCTCCGGAGCATATGGACGATGATGATATATTTGTCGCTCAACCTTCAAGGTTTGATTTGTTGGTTGGTGGGTTCTGGTTGGTTCTGGTTGGTTCTGGTTGGATCTGCTTGGTTGGTTAGTTTATTGATTTATTGATTGATTTGTCGCAGACAGATAGGAGGGGGGCTGAGAATGTCTGGATGGAGCACATGGACGATGAAGAAATATTCGTCGCTCAACCTTCAAGGTTTGATTGATGGGTTGAATGGTTGGTTGATTGATTTGGTGTAGACAGAAGAGGGGTGGTGAGTATGCCAGGATAATCCGGAGTACATGGATAATAATGATATATTCGTCGCTTAATCTTCAAGGATTGATTGATTGATTATTTGTTGGATTGATCGATTGATGGAGCGATTGATTAATTGATTGAGTTGCTTTTCAATGTAAAGACTCAAAAGAAAAAATTTATGATTTGTTCCGTAAATACTATTGTTTTCCATCGTTTTCCTTAAACTTTTCGAAAATAATTTTTTTTAGATCCGGTATTCAGCCTTTGCTGCCCGACGATTTTGGCGACGAATCTTTGGCCGGGATCAAATTCGGCGAAGAGTTTACAAACAGATACGGCCAGCCGTCCCTGCCGTTTTTTCAAGGTTTTTCCTGTGAACTTTATTTTAAAGTATTCAGAATTGGATTAAGTTTTTTTATTAATCATGAAAATTTAAATTAATTTTTCATTTTTGTTGTTTTGTAGGATCTCTAGATGACGCGTTGAACGAATCTTGTAATAAAGCCTCTCAGGTGGGAAATTTATATTTTCAACGAATTTTAACATTCAAAAGATTTTTTGAGTATGAAGACTTATTCTATGATTACATGCCTGATTCACACCGGTACCCTTTTAACCGTAAATGATCGTCAACGAGAATTGTAAAATTATCGGTTTTAAAAACAAAAAATATTTTTAATCTTTCTCAGTTTTGCCGAGATAAAGGTTCGAAAGGTGCCGTTGTGTGTCGGGGATGCTGCTTTTTAACTGAATAGTCAGTTCAAATGACGTCGTCTGTCTCTTTAGATATTGTTGCCCAATATCAAGTTTGCTACATTTAATAATTTTAGGATCGTAAAATGCTAGCGCTCTACCTCCACCATGATTCATCTGTTCTAACCAACGTATTCTGTACACAAGTTCTCTGTGCAGATCCGGTCATAGGTATGTACATTGTACAGTATACAGTTTAGTGGACAGTGAAAAATTTAGTGTACAGTTAAGTGTACAGTGTGCCGATCCAGCGATAGGTATGATTAGTGTACAGTTTAATGTTCAGTTTTCTACGCTGTAAATCTAAGTTGTCATATTCAAGTACATTCCTTTAATTGAAGTTAGCATATTCAAGTACATTCCCTTTAATTGAAGTTGTCATGTTCAAGTACATTCCCTTTAATTGAAGTTGTCATATTCAAGAACATTCCCTTTAATTGAAGTTGTCATATTCAAGTACATTACCTTTAATTGAAGTTGTCATGTTCAAGTACAATCCCTTTAATTGAAGTTGTCATATTCAAGTACATTCCCTTTAATTGAAGTTGTCATATTCAAGTACATTTCCTTTAATTGAAGTTGTCATATTAAATGCATTCCCTTTAATTGAAGTTGTCATATTCAAGTACATTTTCTTTAATTGAAGTTGTCATATTAAGTGTATTCCCTTTAATTGAAGTTGTCATATTCAAGTACATTCCCATTAATTGAAGTTGTCCTATTAAGTACAGTCCCTTTAATTGAAGTTTTCATATTCAAGTACATTCACTTTAATTGAAGTTGTCATATTCAAGAACATTCCCTTTAATTGAAGTTGTCATATTCAAGTACATTCCCTTTAATTGAAGTTGTCCTATTAAGTACATTCCCTTTAATTGAAGTTGTCATATTCAAGTACAATCCCTTTAATTGAAGTTGTCAAATTCAAGTACATTCCCTTTAATTGAAGTTGTCAAATTCAAGTACATTCCCTTTAATTGAAGATGTCATATTCAAGTACATTCCCTTTAATTGAAGTTTTCAAATTCAAGTACATTCCCTTTAATTGAAGTTGTCAAATTCAAGTACATTCCCTTTAATTGAAGTTGTCCTATAAAGTACATTCCCTTTAACTGAAGTTGTCATATTCAAGTACATTCCCTTTAATTGAAGTTGTCCTATTCAAGTACATTCCCTTTAATTGAAGTTGTCATAATCAAGTACATTCCCTTTAATTGAAGTTCTCCTATTAAGTACATTCCCTTTAATTGAAGTTGTCATATTCAAGTACATTCCCTTTAATTGAAGTTGTAATATTCAAGTACATTCCCTTTAATTGAAGTTGTAATATTCAAGTACATTCCCTTTAATTGAAGTTGTAATATTCAAGTACATTACCTTTAATTGAAGTTTGTTTTCAGGAATGTTAGGAGAGAACTTTATAACCTGGGGATGGGATCTAACATTTAATTCGAACAAACAGCGACTATTAGGGATTCAGAAATATAATATTTCATATTTTATTTTATTTTAATTTTTTTGTTCCCATATGACAAATAAAATAATTTTCAGAATTCCATTCCTTTAATTAATGAACCGTATACAATGTTTGAAAAGTTTTGAATAATATTTTTGACATGATTTTACATAGACATGATAAACAGGCATTTTGGTTCGGTTGCGGCATCTACTCTCAGGAAAATTATTTTCTAAAGTTTAGCCAAAATATTTTTTATTTAAAGACTGGGTCCCTAGAATTCACTTGCTAGTTCCTTCTTATAACCTGCGGCGCTTAAAAAGTAATATAATGAAGATTTTTAAATACAGAAATAAAATGTTTTGATGCCAAAATTACGTGTTTTGGGTGTAAAAAGCAAAAAGAAGGCAACTGTTGTATTGCTGTAGTGCCAATCGTAAATTGTCATTGATTTTGATTCATTAAATTCACATCTGCAGGGTTAAGATGTGGGGAGTAAGGCGTCTGTAAAATTCTGATTTTATTCGATTTGCTTGATTTGATTTTCATATGAAATGGTTATTATACTGCAACGGAAAATTTTCCGCGAGCGTTATTTTTATTAAACTGGAAGTTAAAATTTGAGAGAAAATTAAAAATAATTTGCTTCCAGAAATTTCCAAATTGAAAAACTGCCCATTGTGATATTAGTGGCCAAGCTAAGAGGAAATCTGGAGATATTTAAGGTAAAAACATTTATTCACTCACTGGATTATATGGATAGACATATGAGATATTATTCACGGAGTAGTTTATATGGATAGAAATATGAGATATTATTCACGGAGTAGTTTATATGGATAGAAATATGAGATATTATTCACGGAGTAGTTTATATGGATAGAAATATGAGATATTATTCACGGAGTAGTTTATATGGATAGAAATATGAGATATTATTCACGGAGTAGTTTATATGGATAGAAATATGAGATATTATTCACGGAGTAGTTTATATGGATAGAAAATATAAAGATATTTAAGGTTTAAATATATTCACGGAGTAGTTTATATGGATAGAAAATATAAAGATATTTAAGGTTTAAATATATTCACGGAGTAGTTTATATGGATAGAAAATATAAAGATATTTAAGGTTTAAATATATTCACGGAGTAGTTTATATGGATAGAAAATATAAAGATATTTAAGGTTTAAATATATTCACGGAGTAGTTTATATGGATAGAAAATATAAAGATATTTAAGGTTTAAATATATTCACGGAGTAGTTTATATGGATAGAAAATATAAAGATATTTAAGGTTTAAATATATTCACGGAGTAGCTTATATGGATAGAAAATATAAAGATATTTAAGGTTTAAATATATTCACGGAGTAGTTTATATGGATAGAAAATATAAAGATATTTAAGGTTTAAATATATTCACGGAGTAGCTTATATGGATAGAAAATATAAAGATATTTAAGGTTTAAATATATTCACGGAATAGTTTATATGAAGAGGAAATATAAAGATATTTAAGGTTTAATTATATTCACGGAGTAGTTTATATGAAGAGTAAATATAAAGATTTTTAAGGTTTAAATATATTCACGGAGTAGTTTATATGGAGTGGAAATATAAAGATATTTAAGGTTTAAATATATTCACGGAGTAGTTTATATGAAGAGTAAATATAAAGATATTGAAGGTTTAAATATATTCACGGAGTAGTTTATATGGATAGAAAATATAAAGATATTTAAAGTTTAATTATATTCACGGAGAAGTTTATAAGGAGAGTAAATATAAATATATTTATTTTTTATTTGTTTTCTAGATAATACATGGGAATACAACTTTAGATGAATTCATAACAGAACTAATGTCTGCATCAGAGAGCTATTTACTACAGGTAGAAATATTGTTTAAGTAAACCTCTATACCAAAATAAAAAAAATTAGCTGATTTGTATGAATCAGATGGGAAGAAAAACAAATTTTTCACAATTCCAAAGGTTTCAATCAGAAAACCATTTAGCATCCCCAGGGTGGGGAGGGGGCTCTATGAGTGAACGTATAAAATGCCTTTTTTTGCTGAAAAATAGGTGAATTTTTTATTAACATAGGTATGTATGTTAGTAGGCAGATACTTCTATATATAAATTTGGCTTGTCTGTCTGTCTGTTTGTCTGTTTGTTTGTTTGTATCCAATGAACGTCAAAACGGCTGAACCGATCGGGCCCAAATTTTTTGTGGGACATCTAGGGACACCAGGGAAGGTTTATGAAAAAATAAAATTTCAAATATTTGTCTCTATCAAAATTCGATCGTCATTAAATTTTTAAAAATATTTTGTAAAAATCCGCGAATTATTTTTGTTTTGTTTTACGATGTACACAAAGAGAACATGTTCACAACTAATTTAGAAGATGGGCGCGAACCGCCCTCTAAGGCTAGAAAGAAGGGCGCGAAGCACCTTGAATTTCTAGTTTCTTAGAAAAGTATAAGATTTTTTTGTAAAATCTTGATAAAAAAATATTTAGCAAGAAATTCAACTTTAAAAATCTTTAAATTGCCTCTTTTTTTTCTTTAAGACTTGCTAAAGTTTTTTGTCTTGGAAGTGACGGTAGTTTGAAAATGAAAAAAAAAATAATAAATATTGAAATTAAGATTTTGAAACAAGTTGAAACTTTTTTATCAACATTTTTTCAAGAATTTATTTTTCAATTTGCCACTACCCTCACTACCTCCGACTTTTTAAAATCTATATATCAACATTTTTTTCAAAATTTTTTTTATTTTAAACTACCCTCACTACCACCGACTGGCGAGTTTTTTCTTCTAATTAATCATTTTCTATCTGAAAACCTGCTCTAAATTTTCTGTTATAAAATAAAACTACTTTTTATGTATAAACATGTTTTTCTGAAGGTCACACTTTCTTTCTTAATAGTGTATTCTTATTAGTACAGGTTATCTTTGCAATAGAACTATTGATATACTAGGCTCTTCTATTTTAATTGTGTGGACATTTCCTCTTTGTAAATGTATAAGATTAAAGATGTGAGGACACTTTAATTTTAGTTCTGAGCTTAAAATGTTCTCGATGATAAACGTAGCTAATAGGTATGCATTTTTGTGCGATTTATATATATTTTTTCCTATATTTATCTAATTTTTTCTTCTTTAAACAAGTAAATGAAGTGATAGGGATATTTAATTTAACTATACAGTACATCATATAAATAATATTATTATATATTTCCAGGCTTTAATTTAACATTAAAACCTAGTATTTTCGACATGCACGATTTCATATTTTAAGTTTCATACATTTTTTAAATTATCTTTTAAATTGAGTCCCAAAATTCGCAATTTAGACCTAAAAACGATTCAAAATAATGTGGGACACTTCTTATGTGGTAAAACTGTGTTTATAGTTAGTTTGTTTGTATATTGATTTTCAACAGAGAAGTACATCATGAAGAGAAGCAAAAATCTAAAGAAATCAGCAAAAAAAAATCCATCCAAAAAAATATTTTCTCATCTGAAAAATCAAGTTTTTGCATTTTATTTTCCCTTGCATTACAAATTCAATGCGCCGACAAAACCCGATTTTCTTCAAATCTTAATTCAGAAATTGGAAGAATTTTTAGAGGGTAATTTTCCATCTCTTAAACTATCCTGAATTAACAGGATTTAGAAACATTTTCAGAGTTGAATCATGGAAAAATTCTTAAGTAAAATTTACAAAATTCCACCCACGCTAACAGGAGGAAGGAACAGTGTGTAGGCTGTGGAAAAGGAAGGATTATCAAACGGAGAGTATGGAATGCAACATTTATTGAACTATGCTGCTAGGATACCAGGATAGAAGCAGAGCCAGTAGTGGCGGCAAGAAGTATTGAATAGTCGGGCCTCTTGTTTCATTCCTAAATCCTGTCAGCTGAGTACGAGTTTGGCTAATAGTACATTTTAAAGTAAAATACTAAGCGTGTTTCTGAAACGTATTGTTTGTACTTTCTGTCCACTGATCATTTTCTTAACTGTGAAATGTACAGTTTACAATTCTGACTGCTAGGATATCAGAACCTTGATGGAGTATTTGTAGATTATGCAACTATGCACTATGCAGTATGCAAAATGCATTTGCTTGAAAATTACAGAATGCACTTTGCACACGTTTTAAAAGCTTTAAGTTTTCTTCGGTTGTAAGGGTGCATATTTTATTTGTAAGGTTTTTTTTATTATATAACTAGGCTTTGCGCTCATCTTTAATTTCAATTGTAAACATTTTCTCTTTGTATAAATTGTAAATCAAACTAACAAAAGTTTCGCGGATTTTATCAAACGAATTTCGTGGATTTTCAAAATAGTCAAAAATCGATTTTTGTTGGAGGAAAAGTTTTGAAAATTCGATCATCCATAAACCTTCCTTTGGGTTACGTGAGAACCCACAAAAATTTGGATCCGATCTGACTTTTATTGGATACAAACAACCCGACAATATATATCTATATATAAATTTGGCTTGTCTGTCTGTTTGTTTGTATCCATTAAACGTCAAAACGGCTGAACCGATCGGGCCCAAATTTTTTGTGGGACATCACGTGACCACAGGGAAGGTTTATGAATGATAAAAATAAAAAAAATGAGTTTTAAAGGTTTTTAATTTTGTAAAAAAAAAATCTTGAAAATCCGCGAATTTTTTTTTNACAAATATCATAGAGCTTTGTAATTTAAGAGTAGGCATTGTGATTTATACGCAAAAACCAAGTTTTTTTCGGGCCTTGCTCACGTTACTGGCCTAAAATTCTGCTTTAGACTATTATAAAACTATACTTAATGACATCTAACAAATTTTGTTTCATAATATATGGTATTTTTCATACAAATGAGATGTGTAGCAAAATCACAATTTTAGCTTTATTTTAGCAGGAGAGCATCCTATCCTATAACTGATAAAAACAAATTTAGAAGTTTATAACCGTGTCGTTATTTTTCTCTATTTTTAGAACGTCTTTGACAAATATGAATTAATTCTTGCGTTAAATCCCACAAATCCAGTTATAAATCTAAGAACACCATACCACCTCATCCGTATGCAGAATTAATGGATAAAATAAAAAATTAACAGAAAAGCAATAAATGTTTATGATCATTTAACTTTCTCTCTGTGATCCTGTAATCTTAATAATTCTTTAAATTATCATAATTTATCCTTTATTCTTTAAATTATCATAATTTATCCTTTATTCTTTAAATTATCATAATTTATCCTTTATTCTTTAAATTATCATAATTTATCCTTTATTCTTAAATTATCATAATTTTTGCTTTATTCTTAAATTATCATAATTTATTCTTTATTCTTTAAATTATCATAATTTTTGCTTTATTCTTAAATTATCATAATTTATCCTTTATTCTTTAAAATATCATAATTTATCCTTTATTCTTTAAATTATCATAATTTATTCTTTTTTTCTTTAACTTATCATAATTTATCCTTTATTCTTAAATTATCATAATTTATCCTTTATTCTGAAATTATCATAATTTTTGCTTTATTCTTAAATTATCATAATTTATTCTTTATTCTTTAACTTATCATAACTTTTGCTTTATTCTTAAATTATCATAATTTATCCTTTATTCTTAAATTATCATAATTTTTGCTTTATTCTTTAAATTATCATAATTTATCCTTTATTCTTTAAATTATCATAATTCATCCTTTTTGCTTTATTCTTAAATTATCATAATTTATCCTTTATTCTTAAATTATCATAATTTTTGCTTTATTCTTTAAATTATCATAATTTATCCTTTATTCTTTAAATTATCATAATTCATTACTGCGTAATTCTTATTCTTACTTCAACACGATTACACCTGGCTCTCTATCCCTTTCTCTTCAATTAGAAAAATAAAGAAAATGAATTCAAGGTAGGAAGGTAAAAACAGAATGTGATGATTGGTTTAGCCCTTTTCCACGTTTTTTGGTGACTATCATAGACGGGTTCAAAATCTAAATATATTTGGGTGACCCCTGTAATTTTAAATGTATCAGGTAAAAGAGCGAGAACGGGCGGATGCCGAAGAAGAAGCTCGCCATATGGAGCAGCTAGAGGAGGTTAAACGGCGGAGTGAGGCGGAAGCGAAAGAAGCTGAGGAAGCAAGGCGGGTTGTGGAGCAGGCGGCTGCTCAGGAGGTTCTACCTGATGAACCAGCAGAGGATAATCCTAATCCACAAGCAAATATCAGGTTTAAATCAAGAATGTTAGAATACGCTAGATTAAACACCAGACTGAATGCGTAATTTCATGCACAGATGGCAATGTTCGATTTACAACGGTACCCTAAAAAAGCTTTATCTGATCAAGTATGAATTAGATATTCATGTTTATAGTTTAGAACTTACTGAAAATTTTCAAATCGTGGTTTCTCTACGTAAGTGACGTTCTTCTACTGCAGGGAAAAAATAGGATGTATCAAAATTAAACGCTCGAATTAAGCCTTGAAAAATGACAATAAAACCCTAGTTTACTTTTTTAAAATCAACATAGCATCTCAAAACCAACCTAAGAACATTCCCGTGGGTCTCCCGAGTTCAATAATCAAAATTTGAGGCAAATCGGTCCAGGGGTTACCGATGGGACAAACAAACAAACAGATAGACAGACAAACAGAGATTACAACGGTATATATATTATATATAGATATTTAAATTTTTAAGATTCCGGACTCCAACAGAAACGTTGAACCGACGATTCTTGGCAAACCAAACTTTGAACACTCTTCTTCTATACTTGGCCAGTAAAGGATACAGACCTGCTGATTACAAGGTGAATACTATTCAGAAATGGAAGGAAACCAGGGTGCTCCGCGCCTCTCATTTGTAGATAAGATAAGATTTATTTAACAATACATAAAACAAATATAATGTTACAGGGAAAAAATTTATTGTTTACATTTATATGTGCTGGCAATTAGAAGGAGATTAGCTTACACCGTTTTGAAGTATTATCCCCACCTACTGAATAAAAAACAAGATGTTGAATATTTCAAGGATTTGAAAGTTGCAATAGGTTGAATATTACTAGTTTACCAAGGTGCTACAAAAAAGCGTAAATTAGTTTTCAATTTTTAAGTTTGGGATGTATATGATTAAGCATGTACAAAATTCTAACTAATATTATATTCATTTTTTGCAAGAATAGTACTTAGTGATATAGGAGAAAAATATAAATCCTGAAAACTTTTTTTTAATATGCCTACCGAGGCACTTCTTTTTAAATCAAGCGGCAGGTTATTCTATATCTTAAGAAGTGCATATAAGAGGGAAGATATACTAATAAGGCCTTATTCAGAATGTCAATTTGAAAGTTGAGAGATATTTTAAAATTTCAGAGTTTTTAAAAGTGTTGGTAAATGAAGTTGTACAAACCTTTCTCTTTTAAATCTTTGTACTTTTTAACATTTTGCTGATGTCAAAAAAACAAGATTGAAAAATAATCCTCTTTTTTAGGGGATTATAATTACTTTAGAGGAACTGTGAGGGTCATTTTAATAGACCCTCCATGTGAAGATGGCAATGCCTGATATACAACGGGTCCCTTAAAAGCTTTGTCTGATCAAGTATGAAGTAGAGTTCAATATTTATAATTTTAAAAACTTATCATTTTAATTTTGTTTCTTTACAAAAGTGACTTGCGAATTTCTGCGGATGAAAAACAAATAGGAATTTTCAGAAATAAACACTAGGAAAACAACAATATCTTCCACATAATTGATTACATGAAGATTTTAAGGGAAAGTTATAATTGGGCTTTGACTCCTTTGCACGGAGGTAATCTCAAATACACTTTTAGTTCTTTAATTAGATTTATATTATTATATTACAAAGTCGCTCCTAATACAGTCAACATTGAAAAGTATTCCTATTTTTTATGTGCACCCTTCTTAAATAGTCAACTTAGATTCACATCATAAAGATGCGGTATGTCTATTACATATCATATATTCTCCAATATTCATGCATTGAAATGGAAGTTTCTATTAGAGTTTTACTCGCTATAAGCTAAAAAAAGCCATATTCCATAACTGATGAAGTTTAGCCACTTCAGTTCTGGAAAATAAGAACAATACAACCCGTCAAAAGAAATTTGCACATTTTTAGTTTTTCTTAATTACACATCAGTTTTTTTATTTATCAAAATTATTTGCATATTTGAAATGGCATGGTCAAGGGTTTTTCAAAAATGTATATTTTTTGGACATTTTTTTGCAAAAATTTTACTTTATAAATTGAATTTGCAAAAAATCAATTTTTTTGCAAATTATTTTGCAGATTATGAAAGTAAATCAATCATAAGAGCTTTCCAATGATGTATCAGTTGTCATATTTGGACATCAAACATGGGATTTAGAGAAGGGGGTCAAATTCAGCCGCCCTCCCCCAGCGTATCCTGGTTTTCAAGTACCCCAGCAGGGATAGGGTTAATACTTTAATTTAATTTGATTTGATTTTATTTTGTTCATTAATTTATCAATTTCTGTTTAAGATTTTATCCTCTTGGCCTCGTCGAGATATCAGTGTATTGAGTTCGGAATCTAGTCTCCAGGAGTTAAAACTTTGTCCCCAGGTTAGTTACTATTAATCAAGGTTATATAATAAGGTTGGTATTCTTGATGCGCTCCAATGTCGGAAAATGTCGTCTACTAAGATAGTTAGATAAAAACCTCATATGACGTCACTGATTATGAGGCGAGAGTGACATCATATGAGGTTTTATCTATCAAAATTAGGAGACGACTTTTTCTGCACCGAGAGTAACTAGCCTTATTATACAACCTTGATATTAATAGACGAGTTAGGAATTATTATTAGGTAGGCCAGTTAGTAATTGTTACGAAAATGTACGCCAGGTAGGCCAGTTAGTAATTGTTATTAAAATGTACGCCAGGTAGGCCAGTTAGGAATTGTTAACAAACTGTACGCTAGGTAGACCAGTTAGTTAATGTTACCAAAATGTACGCCAGGTAGGCCAGTTAGTAATTGTTATTAAAATTTACGCCAGGTAGGCCAGTTAGGAATTGTTAACAAACTGTACGCTAGGTAGACCAGTTAGTTAATGTTACCAAAATGTACACCAGGTAGGCCAGATAGTTATTGTTAATAAAATGTACACCAGGTAGGCCAGTTAGTTAATGTTACCAAAATGTACACCAGGTAGGCCAGTTAGTTATTGTTACTAAAATGTACACCAGGTAGGCCAGTGGAATTGTTACCAAAATGTACGGCAGGTAGGTTAGTTAGTTAATGTTACTAAAATGTACACCAGGTAGACCAGTTAGTTAATGTTACCAAAATGTACACCAGGTAGGCCAAGTGGAAATGCTAACAAAATGTACGGCAGGTAGGTTAGTTAGTTAATGTTACTAAAATGTACACCAGGTAGGCCATAATTTTACAAAAAATATTGAATTGGAAATTAAATTTTATTAATTTAGGAAACCCTGACTTTGGAGGCCCGACATGCACAAGATTCAGACTCAGATTAATTAATTAATGATTTAATTATTTTAATTAATTATTGTTTATTATTGTACCAACACATCCATAATCAATAAACGAATTGAAACCAATCTAGATATTTAGTTTAGTAATGGAAAGGGATTCTCAGTTTTTTTTTATGTATGAACCAGAAAACTGTGGAATAGGAAGCAATCCTGAAATGCATTTAATGTTGTTACAACGCACGTATAAAAGTGAAATGGGTCTATTTATTCTTCATTTTCATTGGAATATTTAAAGTTATAACTTGAGTCTAAATGTTTTCTATAGTTCACTGTATATCTAAGTATTTACCTACTATGAAATACTCGACTACAAAGTGGTCAAATAAGGAAGAGAAATTAACGAGGACTAAGATCTGAAGAAAATATTCCGTGTAAAGTATCAAATCATGATACATCCCATTTCCCTGCATAAGTGATTCAATATATTCCTATTAAAACTGTTTGCTTCGGAACAAGATTAAATACACTAATACTTGCATTAATGTCGTCTTCCTTTTTCAGAGTTTTCTGGTTTTCACTTTACGTAAGACTAAATTACTAATGATTGATACTAAATTTGGAAACTTCTGAATATTCTAATTATCGACTAAATTCTGGGTTAAGTTTAAGTAAATAAAACAAATTCAGGACGAGCACTGCATCCACAGATAAAAAGTTCAGGATCATGAAGCTTTGGAAAAGTAAATTTAGTCTTGTGTACTTTTTGGTTTTCCATATTTTGTATCCCTTGAACCCAGGGGGCGGAAACGTCATGTATGTGTGTCTACCAAAACAGTGTGTGTAAGCAAAAGCAATAACAAACCGGTAGGTATATACAGTACATCAGAATCTCAGTATTTGTACAGTCTTGGAGAGAACATTTGTTTATTGTTAATTGTTTACTTAAAAAAAGGTTTAATATACATTTAATAAATTATTTATACTTTTAAGTCAACTCTATAAGCCAAATGGTCAAGCAAAGAATAAAATTTGATTAAAGTTTACAATAAACAACTCGTTATGCAAGCTTGATTATAATTGACGACATTTTTCTGCAATTTCCTTGACCGTAGTCATGTTGTGTGTCTGTACCGAAAGAGTGTGCGTGTGTAATAACGAACTAGTTTGCAAAGCAGTGCGACTGGCTTTCTCATGCCAGACCAGCTTCATTTCCCTTCCCTTTATTCTTATTCCCTGCTTCAACCCTTCCCATGAACTTGGAAAGTATGCAAAAGCATAAAGTACAGAATAAAACGTCAATTCAATGCTTGTCGTCGATCCAGAAGAAAAAACAAAGAAAATATAATGAGGGTGAAATTCTGATATTTTAAGATAGAGGGATAATATATGGTATACAATTCTTTCTATTTCTGTGCACAGTGCCACAAAGTACACATCTACAAAATCGTTTACTAAATGCTTATTGAGTAGATATAATACTAAGGCTGCCGTATATTTGAATACGGTGTCTGGTACTGAAATGCTACATAGTGAGGAGATTTCGGTGTACATACTACATAGAAATGGCACGTCAAAATAAAGTAAAATGCAAGTAAGATTGACAACGTCTATGTTTTTTATCATAACTTATGTTATTGAAGAGATATTGAAAAGAACAAAATGTTTTGAATTTATAATATGTAACCGAATAAAGTAGCTTCTCTTACACTTGTGCGTAAAATCAGAACTAGAGGAGCAACGGAGGCACAAAGCTGTGACAGTAATGTCAATTGAAATTGACCTTCTCCTTCTGATTAGTTTGCAGTGATCCGGGCACTGACCAATTTATGAAAATAGTTTTCCTTTTTGATAATATGTTTTACATTTATTTAACAATGACACGTTTAACATTAACATTAACATATAATATTTATAGACACTAGACAGTTTTTTTGAATTTGAAACATAGATATTTTGTATTTATATGTGTAAAAATAATATTTGATTGAATATATTATTAGAATTTTAATCCCAGTAAAAAATTAAAATTAATGCATTTTTTAATTTGACATTTTTAGAAGAATTTCTAGCATTTGCTTCGTAATATCAAAAAGCCCGAAAGTTTTTGAAATAACAATCTTTTTATCTTTTAAGAATATTTTTTTACGGGAGAGTGAACTTGTTTCTTATATTTGCCCCTCCCCCCATTTTATGAAAATAACCCATAGTACTGAAAACTTTTGATAAAAAAATAGACATTTTTTTAGCTGAAATTTCACAAATTTTCAAATATTCGCGGATATGATAACTTTTTTTTGCATACAATAATATTAGTTTTACAGAAATGAGATCATTTTATCAAAACATTGAAGTTTCATGGTACTTTTTTAGTAGTATACTATTTATAGGTTTGAGATCGATTACATTTTATGGTTAAATTATAAACATCAGTTTTTTTGCTGATGCTTTTTTTTTTTTTTAAGGAAATGCAACATGGAGGACATGATGTTGGTTTTCGCACAGTGAGACCTTTATATTTGTTGAATAGGAAGACGACTTTCAGATTCTGATTTTAAATAGTTGAGTGAACATGAAGCATTTGTGCAATGTGCAGTTTATACACAAACCCATCTAACTTATTTTTTTTTATTTTTAGACTACTTGTAAAAATATTTGTTTAATAACAACATCAAATGCACATCAAGATGGATAAAATGTCGTCTTTCATATTCGGAGTATTATTGGTCAAATACTATACATAAAAAAAAATATTTCGGTGGATTTTTTCCTCTCGCGAGCCTTATATGATTTATGGCTCCTCAGTTCTACAAATACAGAGTTGTTTTCTGAAGTTCCCAGACATAATACTAAAAATAGAAATATAGAAAATAATACTTCAACATAAATGTGACTGTTTAGATACTAAAAGATTGCTAATAAAATTATTTAAGAGACATTTTCGTGGTTTATAAAGAAAAAAATAACAATAGCGACTGCGGGTGTAAATAATAAAAATAGCGGTTGCGGGTTTAAAAATTACTATCGTAAGATATTGACAAGCCTTATTTTCACATGGCACACTTTTAAAGGGTATAATTAAAATTTTTTTTTTAAATTAAAATTTTAACCTGTAAATAATTGGATTAATTGTAGCGTGTATTGCTGGGAGATGTTTAGCAATTACGGAAAACCTAAAAAAAAAATTAATTAAATTAAATTAAATTAAATAACTTTCATAAGTGGAAACCCTGAAATTTGATAAATGGTATAATTGGAATCCTATAGTTTTTGCAGAATTTAAATTCTTGAACATTCTGAAAAGTACAGTGTTTTAATGGCTTATTTAATGATCTGGTAATTAGAAAGAAAAAGTTCACAGTTGCAAGAAGTCGTGAATACCAGAAAACAGACAATATATAAATTCCGTGCATTCGTCTGTGAAGTATAATCCAGTTGTGAAAATATCAAAAACCCGGAAACCCCAAAATCATCCATTTGCTTTATACGCTCGTGATCTTGAGTAAAATGAATGGAAAATTAAATACAATAAAGACAAAATAAACTTTGTTGTTCAAATCAAATTCTAAAAATTAATATTTTACAAATAGGTTCATATTGAAAAATCCATTCAAACAAGATAACATTTTTACAGAAAATTGATGGATATCTCATTTATTCTTGAATGAATGAGTTATCCCTTTAAACCTGTAAAATGCTGGACTATAGGGTAGAGATGTATTTCCAGCCCACCACATAATCAACCTAATTTTATACTTAAATAAACTTTAATACGTTTAGGAGAATGATCGAAATGCAATAGATTAAGGAAATATATACAAATATATACAAATATTTACAAATATATACAAATATATACAAATACTTACAAATATATACAAATACTTACAAATATATACAAATATATACAAATATATACATTACAAATAGTAAATCACAAAATATTTTAAATTAATCTTTATTAAAAGATTTAATTAATAATTTTTTAAAAATCTTGACAAATTATCCAATTTTTGGGAATATATATTCACAATTAAAATATTTCTTTTTGACTATTTGTTTTTTTATAAAATATCTTTATTTTGATGGCAATGGTGTCAATTTTTTTATGTTTAAGGGCATAGTCACAATTTATTGATATATGGAGAATATTCTCAATTTGTTGATATATGGAGAATATTCTCAATTTATTGATATGGAGAATATTCTCAATTTATTGATATATGGAGAATATTCTAAATTTATTGATACATGGAGAATATTCTCAATTTATTGATATATGGAGAATATTCTCAATTTATTGATATATGGAGAATATTCTCAATTTATTGATATATGGAGAATATTCTCAATTTTGGAATAAAATATTACCAATAAGTTATATTGAAAAGGAATGATTTTAATTAATTAAATTAAACAGAATGGTCTTTATTTTCATTTTCATTTCCAGAAATTCAGAGTCACCGGAAGAATTTACAAAATGTCGTCTTAAAAATTGTTTAATGAGTTTTATACTATTATACACAAAGTAATAGTAAAAATAAATAAATAAAATATAGATACGCAGTAACAGTTCTAAAGAGCTCCTTATAATTATTCGATTAAAAACTAAATGGCTGCAGTAGGTTTAGAAAAAGACATTTTATGCATTATTTCTGTAACTCCAAAGTTTTAAGTCAAACTATATAAAGTGAATGTTCTTACTTAGCAGTTAGCCAGGTTCCCCAGCAGAGGAAATACATCACCAGAATTAGGATCAGAAGCTGAAAAATAGAAATTCAAGTTATTATTTTTTAAAACAAATTTGGTATTTTTCATTTTCATATTTTTACAAATTACAATTTTCAAGTGACTAGGAATCGAAAGATACATGTTTTAAATGCAGATAATCATTTTTCCTGATTTCCTTCTTTTCTGTTCACTCTGTCTACTTATACACTTTATTTAACTACAGGGTGTCCCACGAAACATAACACTTGGGCAACAGTTTTGAATGTCGTCTTCAATATTTTAAATAAAGTATTAAAGTCTTTCTGCAGTTTATTTTTTCAAAAAAATCTGTTACTCAAATTTATTTTACTTTAACATCTATTTTACTATGAAATGAATGTCATGTGATATATTTTATTATTCTTTTTGATATCAAAGAACTTAAAAATCTTAAGAAGACGACATTTAAAACTATTCACCAACTGTCATGTTTCGTGGGACACCCTGTATGTTGCATTATCTGCATACCCNTACAGGTAAAGACATAAATACAGGTACAGGTACAGGTACAGGTACAGGTACAGGTACAGGTACAGGTACAGGTACAGGTACAGGTACAGAGCTGAGGGTTAAACACTCAAGATTACGCTTTTCATATATAGTTTAAATAGTGTATTTAATGATTATATATAAAGATAAACAAGTTTACAGCTCCAGGAAACCACGAAAAAGACTAATTAAATTCTTTACATTCGTCTATGAAGTTGTAGATCAAAAACCTTACAATCTTTCTCCGTAAAATGTCGTCTTAAATCAAATCATACTACGGAACCAAACCCAACCTTTTCTCCGGTAAATAGAAACAACTCGTGAAAAGTGAAACACGTTTTAATATAGTAAATGCTTAAAATCCGTGATTATTAGTCTATGAAGTATTATCATAGAAAAGGGGGTTTATGACTGAACGATGCTATAAACATTTGTATCATGACGTTTATGATTAATAAAACTTTGATATTCATTTTAAGAGACTGAAGACGTGTGAAGGCTCATCTATATATTATAAGTTTTAATATCTGTAAGTGTGTCCGATCATAACTCAGGAACCCCTTGACCAATTTGCCTTAAATTTTGATTTTGGAACTCGGGAGAGCTACGGGAATGTTCTTGACTTGGTTCTGAGATTCTAAGTTTTCTGTGTCGACAATTTAGTTTCCCGGTAATATCATCCATTGGCGGGAAAACAGCGGGAGTACATATAAGGCAGTAGCCTAAAGGAGTTATACTCGCATGCCGCATTAAATTACAAGAAAAAAGAGATTAGTATATATTTTAGGGTTAGGTTAGGCTAAAACACTTTATGTGCCGAGCGCTGCGGCTAGGTTAGGTTACGGGGCCACTCCTTTAGGCTCCTGACTACTTCTGAGTAATCTGGACAGCACTAGGATCCCAAGCTAGTTCTTTATAAAATTACATCTATCGAGTTATACCAATTAATTTATTATTCAATTATGTCCATTCAGTTTTCGCAATCCTTTCCTTATAATATCAAGCTTTAAAAGTCGGCTGCTCTGAAGTAAAATATATCAATTTTAATTTTTTTTTCTCATATCAACTTTGTAGAGTATTATGAAAGAGGAACGTTTTTATTAAAACTCTAAAATTTCATTGAAGGAGGAAGAAGTTGAACCACGTGGACTAAGCTGAACCACTATTCCATTGCATTGTAAACGGTGCACACGATGAATCCTTTCTCCATTATTCCAAAAACCAATATGATAAGAAAATTTAAAAAAATGGTACCTTGATAATATTCTTTCGTCCATTGTTTATTTTCTGTGCAGCCAGCCAGCCCTGGTTGCACTGACACGGCTGGTTGGGCTGGTCAGGTTGACTTGACCTTTTACCCGTCTGCTGCCCGGCCTGGGTAGCTGGTGTACCAGTTGTGGTCGGCGGCTGGAGAGATTGGTCACCTAACTGTTTACCTAGCCGATGAGCTCTAAAAAAAATTCTTTAATGATATTATCAATTTTTTCCAACTACAGGTTTACTGACAAATGATGAGACTTCAGAGACGATTGTACGGAATTTATACTGTCTTGAATATTAAAAAATTTTATCTTTCCTAGTCAAATCATTTAATAAGCCGTTAAAAAGCTACATTTAGGGCAGAGGACTTATTTCAACCTTGGGATCGTCATATTTTAAGGATTTGAGGTCGTCTTTACAGTCTCATCCTTTGTGGGTAATCCTGTACATATTGAAGCCAAAAAAAAACTGTGGAAAGAGAAGAAGACATTTAAACAATCTTGGGTTGATTTAGCTTGTAAACAATTGTTTCACTGCACAATTGCTACGGTTATTATATTTTTTGGACTATTTAAAACCATAACTCCAGTCCACCCCGGACTAACCAGAGTTAGAGGCATTCGGTTTCTTCTATTTGAAATCATACGCGTTTTGGTCTATATTTCAACAATTTTTAAACTTACAGATTTGTTTGTTTAATACTTTTTATTCAAAACGTATCTGCTTGCAACAAAGTATTTAAGAAAGAAGGCTGAAAAATTATGTTTAAAAGGGGAAATTGTGATCGAAAGTCATAGCTTTCTGGAATATTGACAGAACTGTTAAATCCACGTGAGTCTTACAGTTGTCTTTTTATATTCAACAGTATTATGTGCACTGTAGTTTGAGAATGTTGTGAAATATATCAATGTTTACCTAGTAAAATAAGGATATCATATTTATTCTTGATTAGACTTATTATTTAATTGAGAAATGGACGTGCCACTTAAAAACAGAGTGTCACTTTAAATGACCTCAAAAGTCCTTTTATTAATAAAAAAAGTAAACCTGACTGCAGTGAGAGACATCTTGATTCCTTCCTGAGAATGCTGGGAACCAACTGATGCAGAGGAACTAAACAATATTCGGATTATTTTACGGAACATTCCGGATTATCTATGCAACATTCTGGATTATTTACGTAACCTTCTGAATTATTTACTGAGCATTCTGGATTATTTACGGAACCTTCCAGATTTTTTACGGACCATTCCGGATTATCTATGGAAACATTCTGGATTACTACGGAACATTCCGGATTATTATGTAACCTTCCGGATTGTTTGGGGAAAACTTTGGATTGTTTCATTATGGGAAAAAATTTCTTATTAATTTCGAAACATTGAAGAAAATGTAAGAAATAAAAACTGTTTACAGATATGTGTAATTACATGATAATTATGCAACACCAAATTTTACGAATTTTATGACACATGTTGTTTTTTTACGCGTTATGGGCAATGGGACAGGGGCGTTCGGGGGGGGGGGGGTTCTTTTAATATTACATCTTCCTCAGGCTTAATCTACATTCTACATTGCATTGCATTGCACTCACCCAAACTAAAAGATTAAGAAAAGAATTGAAATCTATTCTGATTCACAACAATACCCTTCGAAGCTTTGTCTGGTAAAGTATTGCATTAAAAATCCATGTTTACCAGTTTGAAAACTGAATATTTTTTTGTGGTTTCTCTACAAAAGGGACTCGCGCATTTCTTGCTTCAGAAACGATGGAGAAGGTTTCAAAGGTACATCGGACATGCCACTCTGTAAATGGAGGGTCACTTGAAATTACGCATTTATTCCATTGTATAGAAAAAAATATTTAAAGTCTCACTTTTGCCCTTAACTAAAAGAGTTTCATTAAAAAAAGCTTTATATGCTGCCTTCAGTGTAAATATATATTTGATATCATAATTTATTATACAATATGTATCAATCCTATGAAAATATAGATTAGAAACGTTTCCATCTATATTTTTCATCCGTTGAAGCTTACACCACAGTATTAAGAGGAATTGCCTGATTTTGTGCCTCCCCCCCTTGGCAACATTGCGCCCCCCCCCCCCTTAAGAAAATTACATAAATTTAAGTTTACATAGTTTAAAAAGGTATCAAATTTTTTTTCAAAAAAGGGGTTTTTAAGGGGGGCACAGTGTTGCCAAAAGGGGGGCACACACATTTTTTCCACGCTGACGCGCGCAAAATGTGCCCCCTACACAATTGCCCTCGTACGCCCCTCCAATGGGATTGCAGGGGCGTATTGGGAGTTATGGGCTATTGGAAACTTCCAATAGTGGTTATGAAATGGGGTTTAGTTTTATTTTCCATGATATATGACAGGATATAGGATTGTGTGGATAAAATATAAGATTTAGGTTTATTATCTTCCCGTCATACCAGAGGAATACTGAGTAACCAACGCAGAGATTAAACAGATCGAACTAAACATTTTGTTCGAAATATTGAAACTTTTCAAAATAACGAAAATTTTGATCAAAATTATGAATAGATTGTTAGGGATATCTCATATATTTTTATTCTTCTAACATTCTGTTTGGGATTTTGGACAAAATGTTCATAGTTTTAAAATGCTCTCAGTATAATGTTCGGTCAAAATGAAATGGGTGTTAAGTATAAACTTGAGGAAAAGAGTATTTATCTTAGATTTTGCTATTTTTTTGTACTATTTCATACTTCTTTTTACTATTTCATACTTCTTTTTACTATTTCATACTTCTTTGTACTATTTTATACTTCTTTGTACTATTTCATACTTTTTTGTACTATTTATACTTCTTTGTACTATTTATACTTCTTTGTACTATTTCATACTTCTTTCTTTGTACTATTCAATACTTCTTTGCTATTTCATACTTCTTTGTACTATTTCATACTTCTTTGTACTATTTCATACTTCTTTCTGTGTACTATTTCATACTTCTTTGTAATATTTCATACTTTTTTGTACTATTTCATACTTCTTTGTACTATTTCATACTTCTTTTTACTATTTAATACTTTTTTATACTATTTTATACTTCTTTGTACTAATACAACTAGAACTGCCTAAAGACGAAATTTTATGTAGACTATATATAAGTTGTATAACCAAATCTCAATGGACCTGTCACCTTTGTCTTATTAAGGATGAATAAGATATAATATTCTGTCGAAATTGTGTGGCTTGCGGAAATAAGTTGCAGAGGCAAAAAAAAATCCTTTTAATCAAACACTTTTACTCAAGAATATCAAAGACTTTTCTAACACTATTGTGTACAGGCGTACAGGCGTGCACAATAGTGTTATTGTGTACAGCTGTACAGGCGTGCACAATAGTGTTATTGTGTACAGCTGTACAGGCGTGCACAATAGTCGGATAAATTTCCAACACCTCGTCTTTATAATTAGGAAATATTTGAAGAATATCAGTATCTTCCCTAATTGTTACTTGGGTAAAGGTGCCTTTGTGAGTCTGAAATGCCAATTTATATAGGGAGGGTGCCTTGAATCATGTCTACAGTCTGACCTGTGTGTAATTTGTGGACTGACCACACTAGTTTAGAAATAGGGGCGTGAACAGTAAAATGGACCAAAAAATCTATTTTAAAGGTAATGTATAAGCGAAACTTAGATTTCTGTTCAAATAGGTATCAATATCAATTTTATCTGGTCCTTTCATTTCAAAAGATAGTTTTAAATGACAAAAAAATCGAAATTAGCATGACAAGGCAAAACACTGGAGTGAGTGGGGCAGGCATCCTCCCCCCTCCCACACATTATTAACCAATAGTTTGTAGGATACCGAGAACCTTCTTTTCCTTGATTGCATCATTTGCTAAGAAATCTTCGACAAACTTTCCGTTAACTTTTCACAAACTTTTTCAACACTTTTCAACTAGTTTTTTTTCATCACTTTTGTCTACATACCTCTCAAGTTCCTCTAGTCTGCCATTTTCACACAGATTTTTTGTACCAGATTCAAGTCTGGTAGTTTTTAACCATTTTTTTTGGATAAATATTTAAACCAGATTTTAACCAGTTTTTAGTAAAATGATTTGAGTCAGGCTTTAACCAGTTTCTTGTGTAAAGATTTAAAACCGATTTCATTAGTTTTTTGCCTAAAGATTGAAACATGATTTAACCAGTTTTTATGTTAAAGATTAAAACCAGATTCTAACTATTTTTTTTGTTAAAGAGTTAAACCAGATTTTAACCAGATTTTTTGTATAAGGATTTAAACTAATTTTTAGACAGTTTTTTGTATAAAGTTTAAACTAGTTTTAAACCAGTTTCTTGTATACAAATTTAAACCAGATTTTAGCCAGTTTTATGTATAAAGACTTAAACCAGATTTTAACCAATTTTTGTTAAAGAGTTAAACCAGATGTTAACCCTTTTTTTGTATAAAGATTAAAACCAGATTTTAACCAATTTTTTGTTAAAGAGATAAACCAGATTTTAACCAATTTTTGGTATGAAGATTTAAACCAGATTTTAACCAATTTTTTGTTTAAAGATTTAAACCAGATTTTAACCAAATTTTTTAGAAAGATTAAAACCAGATTTTTCATGAGTATTAAACCATTTTTTTTTCATGTAAGTTTTAAACCATTTTATTGTACAGAATTTTAACCGACTTTTATAGTCATCTTAAAATCTTCGAACAGTTTTTACCAAATATAATAAGTTTTTTTTGTCGTATTATTCAGGACTTAATCAAGGTTTTTAATGAGGTTTATAGGACAGCTTTTGAAAACAAACTTTTATTTGATATTTTGGCTTGTCTCATATCTTCTTGTCTGTTCATTGTCCACCTGATTGGAAAAATGGAAAAACGACTAAACCGATCTGGCCCAATGGCAACTCATTTGACACCACAGAAGGTTGCATGGAGAGTCAAAAATAAAAGTTTTTGCCCTAAAATTAATTTTTTTATTTTTTGACAATTCCTCAATTTAAACAGAAAAATCTGCGAATATTTGAGAATGATTAAACAAGGCAAATTATAGAGCAACAGTTAAAAGCGGAAAATGTTGACAGGAAAATGTTGACAGGAAATGCTTCGCGAAATTAATGCCCTTAAAGTCAATTTTTTAGCAATGTAAGATGAGCTTTCTTAACGTTAAAGATCTCGAAATTTGGAATTTCTTTAAAGTCGCACTTTACCATTTTAAAAGCTGTGAACACATCCTTTAACATACAAAGGAAATGAGGAAGATGGACATTATTATCGAGTTAAAGTTGTCTTCTGTAACTTTAATTCCTGAGGCGAACTCAAACTTTTGAAATTAGAAGTTTAATTTGATTTGCAAAGGTTAAAAAATGTCCAATTGTCTATTTGTTCACGTCAGGTTATTTATTCCACAAGACGTTGACCTAGGAAGGGAAAAATTAAATTCTTTAATCGATTTCAAATTAAATCAATTCATTTAACCCTATCCCTGCTGGGGTACTTGAAAACCAGGATACGCTGGGGGGGGGGTCAATTTCAGGCAGTTAGTATTAAAGCCCGGTTTTAGGCCTAAAGGGAGGGCTTTGGGTATGTAAGAAAAGTCAGAAAATTTCAACAGCCTCAGACCAATACTTTTTGAGTTATGTAAAAAAAGCTACAGGGGGGGGTCAAATTGACCCCCCCCCCAGCGGGAATAGGGTTAAAACTGAATCAATTCATTTAAAAATTTCCTGTCTAAATATCTACACAACTTTCGTCAAAGTAATTTTTGATATATTTTCGAAATTTCGAAATTGTTAAATTTATGGAATTTTTATTTTGCCTTGAAATGTATGAATACAACAAATTAAATTTTGAAAATATTTAATATTCAAAAATTGATTATCACTGATAAAACATTTTCCTGAGAAAGGAGAGGAGTAAAAATGTAAAAATAAAATTAATAATATAGCATACATACAAATGTTATCTAAACGAAGAGCTTTATTATATAGATTAGAAAGGTTGATTAAGTTCATAATACAGGGATACCAACAGGGAGACTTTAATGACATCCTGAACCTCTTTAGATAAGAGAATCTATTTATGTTTAGGTTATGCAATGTGCATGCAGTAGCTTAATGTGCATAAACAAATTTTTTCAAAAAATTACATTTCATTCAGCTTCTGTCCAGAGTTCAAAACTAAAGAATGCGCGAACTTTAAGTTTGAGGTTAAAAGTTCTGTAAAATAATGAATAGCTACTTAAATATTAAACTTTCTCAATTTTAAATTTGAATTTCCCGGGAAAAATTTCACCCAATCAGAGAAAAGGATTTATGGAGAATATTACGTAACCATCGCTAATCAGCTGTTTTAGTTAACTTTAAATTATTTCCAGTTACAACCGTATTTTGGGGTTACGTGCAAACATTAATTAATCTAAAACGTGAAATTTGTTAAATCAAGGTTTTTACTTTTAAATATATCGTAATTAGTTGAATGCCGCTTACCACTGAATGATGATAGACAAATAGGGATTGCGGGATTTAAAGATTTTAACCCTGTGTTTAAATTTTAACTCGTCGATTTCGGCGAGTTAAATATTTAACCACAGGTTTAAAAATTTAACCTCACGGTTAAAGTTCAGGTTTAAATTTAAGTCAAAACTTTTCGTTCTTTAGTTTTGGACTCTGGTCAGATTTAGAGATACAGCTTTTAAAACGTCTTTAAATTTTCTTCAAATCATCATAAACATATTTGCCGATTTGTTTATTAATGCTTCTATTTTACAAAATTATCAAGCTAAACCTAGGAATAATGATTTTCATGTGTGTCGACTCTCATTCAAAAAGAAGATAAAAGGTCTTCTGTAAAGTAAAATATTGCCATTTACCCGCCACCCCCTCTAAATATTATCCGGATAACTTTCAATATATATTTTGGCGCCAAAATTTTCAAAAAAAAATCAAGAAATATTTCATCGAGTCAATTTCAAGCTGTGCAAATTCTGTCTGATTAGTTCTATTAAAATCAATAACCCCCACCAGAGTCCAGAAGTGATGGGAGAATATAAATTGGAAAATTAGGGGGGGGATGTCCCCCAAGAAATAGCGTATCTAAGAGAAGTGTCTATAAATGTAAAATAAGTTTGATCAGTATTTTTTTAGTTAATCACTAGTTTGCTTTCTCTTTCAGAAAAAAATTTAAAAATCTTTCAGTGAGGAATATTTTTTCCGTTTGGGCAGTGAGGGAGGGGGGACGGGGGGGGAATGATTATTTTGTAAGTTGTCCCCCCCCCCCCCCCCTTCCTTGCTTATTTCGAAAGGCATAACGTGTCCAATGCAATTATAAGGATAGGGCTGAGAACCATTTCTAAAATGAAAGAAAAAAATAAGAGCAGATGATAATCGACTATTACTAAGGAAATGAACAGCTAATTACAGTTAAGGTAAAGTTATCATAGCTTAGAAATGTATTTTGTTACCACCATTAAAAACTCCAAATTTCGAAGGATAACTTGAATAGCAAATAAAGAAAAAACGTTCAGTTATCACATAATAACGATAATGATAAGCTTTCATTCGGTTATTGTAGAAACCATTTCTAAACAAGCTGTGAAAAATCTGTCAATGCCAAGCCCTAGAGATAAGTTCGCCTAAATGAGTTTGCACCACAAATTACAATTTTTGCACTGTGCAACTTGCTGATAAGAGGAAGTAATATTTTTATTCATGCATTGTCTGCGAAACATTAGTAAATGTTTTCTAAAGCTAACAAATAGAATGTTGAGTTAAACATATTTTTCTGTCTCATCTAGTTCCAACTGGGCCTTCGGCAAAAATTGTCCATTATAATATTTTTAATATTCGAGCTACAAATCTACAAATCTAAAACTTACGAATTTGAAAAGCTTTTGAAAAATAGATGTAACAATTTGTTTCACATGTCAATATTTGTCAAAAATAAAAATAATCATTTTTGAAAATTTTTCCAGCGAAGTTTTTTGATTTTTATTTAAACCTCCCTTGCACTCTTTCCATTTAAGTTAAAGGTATATCTTTTCTATGAGATGACCTTGAAAAGTTGGACTAGGAACATTGTTGCCCATAAATCTACCTTCCAATTTTTTACCATTCAATGTCGTCTTTACCACCCCACCCCCCTCATCTTGGAGAAGTCTCAAAGAATACTACGGCATTCTGCCTCAGTCTCCGACAAAGGAAAACATAGAACAGTAAAAGTTTTAACCCGTAAATACTCAAATCCATATCAATTCTACTTAAACAACTGGGTTTTTATTTTCAGAAGAAAGATAACGTTTTATACTATTTTCAAGGAATAATCCAAATAGTTCTAAATCTATTTCTAAAGTGAAGAAAATGGTTTTTGTGTTTTCATATTATCCAAATAGAAAAGTTTACATGCTTTACACTACTCTGGACCTACAATGATGGACCTCATTATATACCTGATTTTTTATTGTGATTTGCAAAATTTTTCAGAAAATCTTACACATTTTATATTAGGTAAATTTAACATTGTTTCCTAACTTACTTAATATGGTTTACAGGGAAATAAAGGATTTTGTGGACAATTCCTTTCAACATACCTTGGTTGATCTGTCTGTACATTGTTCGTATTGGTTGGTCTGAAGCTGTAGCAACGAGCTCTGTGCCCGTTCCGTAGAGATGAACAGTTACTCATAGTATGTACATTCCTGTACAATATACAACAGTTACTCATAGTGTGTACATTCCTGTACAATTTACAACAGTTACTCATAGTGTGTACATTCCTGTACATTATTAAAAAAGTTACTCATAGTGCTTACATTGTGTACTCTGTACAAGGGCGTATAAAGGGTGGGGGGCAAGTGCACTAAGAAGATTGTATACGTGGACCAGAGCCATCATGACAGAAGTTCGAATGATAAATCTACTTAGAATGCGCATTCATCCTAATCTGATGCGCGCTTTTAGGGATAGTGAAGTAAAACAATTACTTTTAAATGTCAAGCCACGAAAGCTTGAGTTTGGAGGTAGTAAAAGACCATTTTTTGTTTTCTTAATTTGGATTTAATTTACTTTATTCATTGCACCGCCGTTTTGTAATCTTTCTTTTATTACAAACATAGCAGAAGTGCCCAGCGTTGCCCGTAGAATTTTAACAATCGAATGAAATCAAAAAATTATAATTTATTTAGCTTATGTCATCCTCAAGGGTATCCATGAGTTTCCTCACTAAAATTCAGCCCATTGATTCAGCCGTTTGGCCAGCCATAGCAAACATATAAATGAACGATGAGCTTTATTATATAACTTACAATTCTGCTCCTAATTTTTTTCAAAACAGAAAATTTTACAAGTCATAATTATTTTGAGTTTTTCATTTTCAAAAATGTCTTTTACTATCTCTAGTTTAAATACTCATTATTACTAACATAACAGTAAAATAAAATGTCGATTGTTTATAATAATGTTTTTTTCTGGTAGTTTTGTTTGATGGAGAGATAAAGTATAGTATACTTGCAAGGTAATTGGACTGTATGGGTACCTTTAAACTATCTTATTCTTATGCCTGATATTCAAGAAGCCAAATGTTTTAAATTTGCCCCCCCCCCCTAGGAGCCTCTAGGGGGGGGGGGCAAATAAAAAATTTCTGTACACGCCCTTGACACTGTACATGTTATTGAAACTCTTATAAACATAATATATAACTTTTTTTCATTTTTTCCTCGACCGAAAAAAGTGTGTACAGTTTACCGCTAGTATTGTGGAATAGGGGAACGGCTAGACTACATTTTTTAACCACAACAATTGTGCAGTGAACACAGACCTAGACTTTTTGCAAAAATATTTCCTAAAATTTCGTCTTCGTATTCCACAATTTGATGGGCTCCACTGTACTGTCATAAAATTACCTGACAGATCTCCAAAGAACTCTGATAACAGCTTGGTAGCAGCCAGTGCTAAGAATAAGAGGAATAATGAGCAGCACAAACAGCTGATATAAAGAAACTGCTCTGCCTACCCAGGGAGCTGATCCAGACTCCTAAAGATATACAAACATATATTTCTTAAAGGGACTGTACGGATAGTTTCAAGAGATGCATTCCTGATTCACAACGACACCCTTAACAAATCAAGTTTTTCTTTTAGAATTCCAACTGTGGGTTCTATTTCCAGGAGAATCGTGTATGAAAAGCTTTAAATGGGTTGACGCTTTACAATGTCACTATTTTATAAATAGTTTTGGATTTAACATGGTATTCCACTAAATTTTGGAGATAACTGTTTGTGTCCAGCAGAATAAATGAGATTATTTATACACTGAAGGGATTGGGAGCCATTGTAGACAATATTTCTATTTTTCATTATTTTCTAATCTTGATCTAATTCCCCAGGGGTTTGAACAGTACACTATAGAGTACACATACTGAACAGTACATTATAGAGTACACATCCTGAACAGTACATTATAGACTACACATCCTGAACAGTACAATAAAGAGCACACATCCTGATCAGAACACTATAAAGTGCACTTACTGAACAGTACAATATAAAGTACACATTCTAAACAGTACATTATGAGGACACATCCTTTTACTTTCTAATTTTAATCTACAAATCTATTCCCCTTCTTCACTTCTAGTTTTAATTTACTAAACTACCCCCCTTTTTAACACTTCTAGTCTTAATCCACAAAACTCTCCCCTACTTTTACACTTCTAGTTTCTGANATAGAAAAATACAATAAACAAAGCTTTTAAAAGATTTTAAATGAGATCAAAGCGTTGCGGAGAGACCGGTCAATTTCTTTAAATATTTGGAAAATGGAACAGTTTCAATTCTTTCCTTTAATGGACGATTTTGATTTAAAAAAAGGTTAAGAAACTTTTCCCCAATTCCGAGTAAATAGTTATATGTTGTTAAAACTTTTCTTTGAATCATACATTGGATATTGTTAAATTCTCGAACACATAAAACTTATTTTTAAAATTTTATCGCCATAAAAGAAGAGAGAAGAAAGAATGTCTATATGGACCATTCTTCCCGATCGAAATCGAGTCTAGTAATTACATTTTTTATCAAAGATAAAGGGAGTGTGTGTGAAAAATAAAAAGGGGTACATTCCTCCGCTTTCTATATATACGATAATCCTGCTTAGTAAATTTTATTTTAAAATAACCATAAAGGATGTCCTTTAAAATATTTTTTTACAATATACAATAAACAATATACAATATGCAATATACAATATACAATATACAATATACAATAAACAATATACAATATACAATATACAATATACAATATACAATATACAATATACAATATACAATATACAATATGCAATATACAATATACAATATACTTATATACAGTGAGAACCAAAAAAACTCCAGAAGAGAGAGTCGACTTTAAGACTCAAGTTATGACCTTGAATAGTCCAATGAACATGAAACACAGCTATCCTGCAGTGTAAACAGACAATTGTCTATTAAGAAATTATTAAATTATTACTGTAAAGCTATATGCTTTGTCACAATATTAAATGCACTTAGAATTGCTTTAAATCCAAAAATTAATAACAAAAAGAAATTGTATTTTCTTTTTCAAAGAGTATGCAGGAAGGGTTAGTATTTTCAATTTTATATCAGATTAAAAATAGTAATACAATTTCTATTTAATTTGAGCGCGTGCACACTGCACAGCAAATTTTGTTATTATTCCCCACTCTAAAATGCCATGATCCGAGCTGGTACAGTATGTACTATGTATTCAGTCGTACTGTCCAGTTTGGACTACCAAGTGTTAAATCGACCCAGCACGTTTTCTGCAATGTAGCCTGGCAGGATCACAGTTAACATAGAATACTCCTCTATAAGCTCTATAAGATTAAAGTTGGATGAAGCTCTATAAGATTAAAGTGCTCTATAAGATTAAAGTTGGATGAAGCTCTATAAGATTAAAGTTGGATGAAGCTCTATAAGATTAAAGTTGGATGAAGCTCTATAAGATTAAAGTTGGATGAAGCCCTATAAGATTAAAGTTGGATGAAGCTCTATATGATTGAAGTTGGATGAAGCTCTATAAGATTAAAGTCGGATGAAGCTCTATAAGATTAAAGTTGGATGAAGCCCTATAAGATTAAAGTGGGATGAAGCTGTATAAGATTAAAGTTGGATGAAGCTCTATAAGATTAAAGTTGGATGAAGCTGTATAAGATTAAATTTGGATGAAGCTCTATAAGATTAAAGTGGGATGAAGCTCTATAAGATTAAAGTCGGATGAAGCTCTATAAGATTAAAGTTGGATGAAGCCCTATAAGATTAAAGTTGGTTGAAGCTCTATAAGATTAAAGTTGGATAAAGCTCTATAAGATTAACGTTGGATGAAGCTCTATAAGATGAACGTTGGATGAAGCTCGATAAGATTAAAGTCGGATGAAGCTCTATAAGATTAACGTTGAATGAAGCTCTATAAGATTAAAGTTGGATGAAGCTCTATAAGATTAAAGTTGGATGAAGCTCTATAAGATCAAAGTTGGTTAAAGCTTTATAAGATTAACGTTGGATGAAGCCCTATAAGATTAACGTTGGATGAAGCTCTATAAGATTAACGTTGGATGAAACGTTGGGAAAAAAACACTTAAGCATATTCATGTTAAAAGGGACAGACCGGTTATGTAAGGAAGTTAAACTGAGTATGCAGTGTTGTGGATAAATTCTTTTTTTTGAGACATATTAAACGTTTCCACGATGTATAATTACTGAGTTTGATCGCAAAGTCGAAGTTCAAAATTATGAATTTGGGTGGCTACGTTTTCAGAATCGTTTTTATTTAATTATCAAACAATGACAACGGAAAATATAGTAAAAAACTGTATAGTAAACTCATTAGAAGTTTAGGAACACATTTCTCAAAAGGTCAATAATTCAAAGTTAGAATTAATTATTTCCTTTTCATCATTATATTTTTTTTATTTTCTATGACTTTGTTCGCAGATTTCTTTAAATTCTTCGAATGTCGTCTTTTTTATTAATTTTTTTTTTAGAAAATCTGCATAAAATCTTTGTGATTAAAGAGAGATTATAGAAACTAATAATTAAATAAGATTACGTATTTTCGATGATAAGAGTAAATTTTTATTTTCTCAACCTGTTCCTAAACAACTAATTAGTTTGCTGTAGAATTTTGTTAAAATTTTTTTGATGTCCTTATTTAATAATAAAAAAAACAATCCTGAGAACAAATTCACCCAAATGTATGAATTTGAATGTCGACTTTGCGCTCAAACTCTGAATATACAGACCTTTAAAAATGAATCCTAAAGAATTTGTCCACAACACTGCATACTCAGTTTAACTACCTTACAAAGCCGGTATGTCCCTTTAAGAAACAAGAGATCGAAACTATAATGTGGATATTGTTTATTTAAATAAGCATGATCTTGATATACAATGTGTGAACTTTTAAATTTCTGATCATTTTCTTACAGTTATCCCTGCAGAATATTAACCACCACATGACATTAAATCAATCTCTGCTTGATCACGAGACTCACAACAAAATTACTGATTAATGTCAATTATATTTAGAACTACTGGTAACACTTTGTAACCTCGTAAATTCACTAATTAAATTTTTTTTACCAATGCAAGAGTGAACAAGTTTGTTTAGTCGAATAAAGTAATTAAAAAGACTTCTGTTGAAAACCTCTACCGTAAAATGAGTCATGTTTAAAACTTGTAAGATAACAATCTGAAATCACTGATGTTTTTCTTTCAAATAGAAAAAAACATTTAGTCACATTGAAAATGCAATTGAATGAGACACAAATCTACTCTTAAACTTACCTAAGTCTGAAATGTATTAGAATTTAACAAGGTTATAGAGCAAGGATTACTCTGGAAGGGGAATATTAGAATTTAACAAGGTTACGGAGCAAGGATTACTCTTGAAGGGGAATATTAGAATTTAACAAGGTTACGGAGCAAGGATTACTCTTGAAGGGAAATATTAGAATTTAACAAGGTTAAGGAGCAAGGATTACTCTTGAAGGGGAATATTAGAATTTAACAAGGTTACGGAGCAAGGATTACTCTTGAAGGGAAATATTAGAATTTAACAAGGTTAAGGAGCAAGGATTACTCTTGAAGGGAAATATTAGAACTTAACAAGGTTACGGAGCAAGGATTACTCTTGAAGGGGAATATTAGAATTTAACAAGGTTACGGAGCAAGGATTACTCTTGAAGGGGAACAATGACAATGTCTGATTTACAATGTCACCTTGAAAAATATCTGATCAATAATGTGGAAGAAATTGTCGTTTTTCTAGAGTTAAAACTGTTTAATTCAATAATTCCGAAACGTTTTCCTGCAGTAGAAATATACAAGTCTTTTTGTAGAGAATCCACAATTGAAAATAATCAGTTTTCAAAATCATAAAAAATGATATCTAATTTATTCTTGATGAGACCAATGTTGTGTAAAAACCATATTGCAATCTTTGCATGGAGGGTCACTTGAAATTACGCTTACAGTCCCTTTAACTTTATCCGAGAAAGCTTTGATATTTTACGAAATTCCTGATGTATTCCAGAAAATTCCATTTGGGAGGTGTTGCATTTTTAATACACATTTTTCTTAAGGGGACTGTAGCCGTTGTTTCGAGTCTCTGGCGTGTCCGATTCACAACTATCTTTGTCTGATCAAGGATAAAATATCTTTTTAAAAGTTTCTCTTTAAAAAAGAAAAGCGCTTTTTTTCCTGTGATTAAATTATATTTATTTGCACCATAATACAAAATTAACAATTATTCAAATACTTTTATAATTTTGTTTAGCACAAAATCATTTTGATTTTAATGCTCAAAAAAAACAAGTTTATTTTCCAGATTATTGATAAACAAGGTACCGTTGTGCATCGAATATGCTTCGCTTTAAAGGGACAGACCCAAAAGTACGATTTTGAACGTCGACTTTGCGCTCTCAAACTCAGGATTTACAGATCTTTAAAAAGTTTTATGTGTGTCAAATGAATCCTAAAGAATTTGTCCACAACACTGTTTGCTCAGTTCAACTACCTTACATAGCTGGTCACTCCCTTTAAATGTAAAGTCAATCGAAATTATGTGTACAGGCCCTCTAATGGCGGTGATGATGAAAATTTACCAACACCATGAATACAAAATACAGGAATAGAAAAATACAATAAACAAAGCTTTTAAAAGATTTTAAATGAGATCAAAGCGTTGCGGAGAGACCGGTCAATTTCTTTAAATATTTGGAAAATGGAACAGTTTCAATTCTTTCCTTTAATGGACGATTTTGATTTAAAAAAGACACAAAATTTGAAATTTTTTTTATTTTGTTCAGATTATCAGCCCAGAATATCCAGCCAATTTGTAAAACTTCTGTCATTTAAAAGAGTTTTTCCAAATCCTAGTTAAAAGTGCTAAAAGACCTAATTTAAGAAAAATGAAAATAACTTTTAAAAACTTACATTAGTTAGTAGAACTGGTAGAGAGAGCAGATTAGATAAAAACATACATTAGTTAGTAGAACTGGTAGTGAGAGCAGAGTAGATACAAACTTACATTAGTTAGTAGAACTTGTAGAGAGAGCAGACTAGATAAAAACTTACATTAGTTAGTAGAACTGGTAGTGAGAGCAGACTAGATAAAAACTTACATTAGTTAGTAGAACTGGTAGAGAGAGCAGAGTAGATACAAACTTACATTAGTTAGTAGAACTGGTAGTGAGAGCAGAGTAGATAAAAACTTACATTAGTTAGTAGAACTGGTAGAGAGAGCAGACTAGATAAAAACTTACATTAGTTAGTAGAACTGGTAGAGAGAGCAGACTAGATAAAAACCAAACTGTGATTACTGATACAATACACTGAAAACAAGTAACACTTTCAAAATATCTAGATTTTTAGAAAAGTGCAGGGTGACCTCTAAAAAGTAGAAGTAGATAGGGGGGTTCAGCGCCTAGTACATAGTTTCTAATTCTAGAGGGGTCCAAAGTGAGTAACTTTTTTAAATATTAAAAACTCGCTTTTAATTTGAACTTGCTTTTTGGTCACCCTGTAATTCTAATTGAAATTTGAATTTTATCCTAAAATAATGTCACAATACGGAATTTTCTTTTTAGTCTTTCTTAACCTCGGAAGATACAATCTTTTTTTTCTATTGACGAAATCTGGAGAATGAATTTTTTTTCCTATTTGTCTTTGGATAAAGTTTCTCATAAGAGAAAAGAAAACTAAGTTTTCCTTGAATCTGACAATAAGATAATCCATAATAGAACCCTTTAGCCTTTCCTTCAATCTGACAATAAGATAATCCATAATAGAACCCTTTAACCTTTCCTTCAATCTGACAATAAGATAATTCATAATAGAACCCTTTAACCTTTCCTTCAATCTGACAATAAGATAATCCATAATAGAACCC